TCCAGTGGGCCATGGATTCCACTACAACTCATGATCTTTTTAGAGAGTATGGAAGGGGGGGAGGGAATGGGAAAGAGAGAGAGAGAGATGTAAGAGAGACACATCTATTGGTTGCCTTCCCCACATGCCCCGACTGGGGCCAGGGATCAAACCTGAAACCCAGGAACGTGTTTTTGAGCAGGAATCGAACCCGAGGCCCTTTGGTGGAAGGGCCGATGCTCTGAGCCACACCAGCCAGGGCACAACCCATGATCTTATACACCTGGAATTTCACCCGTTTTTATTGCATGTCTGGCTCCTGAAGGCATTTGGATTTACACCAGGTTGGAAGTTCAGGTCTTCAGATGGAGATCAGGGGTCGACCAGCTTCCTGTAAAGGACCAGACAGTGACTATTCTAGGCTTTGTGGGCCACCCGCTCTGCCGTTGCAGTAGGAACGCAGCACAGATGAGCCATGCTGTGCTCTAGTTCAACTTTGTATATGGACATGAACCGCACATAACTCCCTCCTGTCACAAATATTCTTCTTCTTTTGATTTTCCCCCAACCATTTGGTAAAAAGCAAATCTAAGAATGGTGTTTATACCATTCTTAGCTCGTGAACTTGACAAAAACAGATGGCAGATCACATTTGGCCTGCGGGCCGGAGTCTGCCAGCCCTGGTGAGGAGCATTGTTCAAAAGCTTCTAATGCTTTTTCCAAAGGATCCGAGAAGAATCAGTGATCCCAGAGCTTTTACACGAGCAGCTCACTTCCAAGTGCATATTTTTTAAATGCTTGGAAACTAAACATGAATTATACAAGTTCTGAGAGTGGAACAAAGGCTGCTACTGACTGGTTTGCACTGGGCCCTGTGGGTGGCCCTCTCGTCTCTCTGAAACACTCAGGGATAAGGATGCTAGGTCAGTGACAGCATCTGGGCCCAAAGCCTTGAGAACAGTCACAGAAGGACAACCGTGAGGGGCAGTGAAGAGACTGTAGCCGTAAGCTCCATGGAAAGTGCATTCAATGGGAATGGACTACACTTGAAATAGACATAAATTGTGAGCATCCATACTTAATAATTCTCCTGTACATACAGGCTTCATGACAGTTTTCCACTCACTGTCGCTGCCATAAAATCACCTTCCTACCACAGAGGGCTTGCCTTATTTCTTTTATGATCCTAGCACACAGCAGAGTGGTCTTCTGGTCCATTGCTTCCCACCGTGGACACAGATCCACTCAGATAAAGTAACCTGCCCTCATGACTCACTTGAAAGAACCCGTGCCTGTGAGTAAGCGCAACCACCTCACCGCTGCTCCCGGAAAACCTCGTCCGCGAGGTTTGGTCGTAACAAGCATCGAGGAATCACTGCACTTTTCCTGTCTGTCTCTTTCCTCACCACCACTCCTGACAGCAGTGGAGAGAGGGCTCCCGTAAGGACAGAGCAGAGAGGGGTTTGTTTTGGTTTGGACTTTTACAACTTACCACACTCCATGAATTCTGACCTTTTATTATATATTTTTTAACATAGCATGTTTAAAAGAACATTTCTCCCATAGACACATCATTGGGATTAGAGAGGACTTTGCTGCAGTCTAGTTCTGGAATAGCCTAGAGTCTTTCCCAGTGATCTGGGAACGTCTGAGCAAGCTTTGGTTATGTGAGTAATCCAGCAGATGAACAGACTCCACACACACATGTACACATGCACATGTGCACACACACGTGCACACATGCACACACTTTAAGCATTTACTAAATGTTTGGAAACACAAGTTGTGCAAAAGCCAAATGTGACATTGTCTCTGCCCCTAAAGCTCAACTTGGTTGGGTTGTGACAACCTGCATTTCAGCTTCCACTCAGGGTTCTGCTGAACTGGGTAAAAATGCTATTTAATCTAACAAAAGTGGCAAAGGGTAGTTTTTAACTTCATGTTGTTGAGTTTTTTGGAGAGTTCAGTTTGAAGCTCTCCCCCTCCCCCCCCCCCTTGTCCCTACCAGACAGAGACAGTGAGCCTCCTCGTGCATTATTAACCCTAGCGCTCATCCACCGTGGGTAGGGCTCAGCGTCGATTGGTTTGCTGTTGCCTTTTGCTGCTGTGGCTTCTCAGCCTAGAGCTCAGTGAGAATTCACGCCTAGACCCCCATATAATGAATTCACCGCGTAGTCCCCACTTCGCAGTTTTGCTTTCTTCTGTTTTCATTACCCGCAGCCAGCAGTGGTCTGAAAATATTAAATGGGACACTTCAGAAGTAAAGAATCCATAAGTTGTAAATTGCATGCCATCCTGGGTAGTGTGTTGACCACTCTGCTGTGTGCATCATTCCACCTGTGACGTGAACCATCCCTTTGTTCAGCGGTCCACACTGTATAAGCTCGACACCTTCTAGTCACTTCGTGACCATCTCAGTTTTCAATAGACTGTCCTAGTATCACAGTGCTTGTGTTCAGGTCACCTTTATTTTACTTAATAATAGCCCCGAAGTGCAAGAGTAGGGATGCTGGCAGTTCAGATATGCTGAAGAGAAGCCATAACGTGTATGTATGTACAGGAAAACAAAAAACAAAAAAAAAACCATAGTATAGATAGGGTTTGGTACCATCTGTGGTTTTAGGCATTTGTGAGGGTCTTGTAGCATATCCCAGTGGATAAGAGTGGGGGGCTGCTGGAGGAGATCGGGCACGTTCAGGGTGGTGAGGCCATAGACGAGTGGGGGCTATTGAATACAGATTTGTTTTGCCCACTTTGGGTTTCCCACAAGAACAAGTAGGTTGGAGAGGTACGATGACCATGGCTCTGATTAGAGGACAGCAAATAAAACCTTAGCCATGCAGAGGTTGTCATGAGGTGATCAAGGTTTTGTTTTGTTGTCATTATCATTATTTCTGCACCTCTGGCACAGGTTAGGAGGAGCTGGGGAAAGAATGAATAACTTCTGGATGATTCAGACGCTCCATGCTGGACAGCTCCCAGCCTTTGGAGTTTCTGGGTTCCAGGAAGGTGGGGACAGGAGTGAGAAAATATTTACTCCTCACACCTACCGAAGGAGTGTCTGGAGGGTTCTGTGGAAACCAGGACTTGTGTGCCCTGAGCCTGTAAGCAGCTGCTTTGGGCTGTGTTGGGAGAGGTTTGAAGAGCAGGCAGGTGCTCAGAACTGGGGTGTGGCAGTCACTCACAAGACAATCCAGCGAAACTCATCTTAAACAGCTCTGTCTTTCTGCTTGTGTGTGTCCCCCAAACATGGACACAGTCCTTCCCCTGCTGTTCTGGAGGTCAGGAGGCCCCTGATGCTGGCCCGACCACATCTGGAAGGCAAAGTTTAGCTGCATTTTAAATGAGACACAGACAATAATGTGAGTTTGAGGAAAGCAAGTAGGATGGGGAAGGATCTGGAACCACTGCCAAGCGTTATGCCTCTGTTTCCTTGTCTGTAAAATGGGCCACCTCTGTGGGGTGTCTTGTGAGAATTCAGTGAGATAGGGCTCTTAGCTCTGTGCCTGCACTTAGCTTATTATTTTAGAATGATGTTGGTTCTTCTTTTATGAGAAATATGGAAGAAACTTGGGTTGTTTAGTCTAGACAAGGAAAGATTGGAGAAAGACATGTGAGCAGAGCTGTCTTCAGATATTTAAAGGATTATTATGTAGCAGAGGGAACAGACTTATTTTTAGATTGAAGAAAATATGACTTAAAATATGGCCTTCGAAGGGAGGCAGATTTTACATCAATGAGTGTATGTGACAGAGATGCTGAGGACCAGCAGGCTTGCTTGTCGAGAATGGGGCTCTCAGGCATCCAACTGCTCAGATGGCTGGGGGGCCGCAGCACTGGCAACTCGGGGGAAATGCCTGCTCCTGGCGGGGAGGTTAGTTGGACTGGACGCCTCATTTCTCTTTCATCTCTGTGATGCCATGAAATTCAGCAAAGACCTGAGTTTTTCTTACTCCTTTGGGAGAACTCATGAAACCAGCAACCGCGTAGAATAAAACCAGAACAATTTCCAAGGCCCTTGGGAATCCGTTGGGTACAAAATAGCAAGCTCATTTGCTTAGAGAAGATGCTTCTCAGCAATTCCCTCATGGTGTTAGTTTTCTAGGGCTGCCATAACTGAGCACCACAGACTGGGCGGCTTCAACAACAGACACTTCTTTCTCACGGTTTTGGAGGCGGGATGTCCAAGATTAAGATGTTTGACAGAGACGGTTTCTTATGCGGTTTCTCTCCCTGGCCTGGGGATGGCCATCTCCTCCTGGTGTCTTTACATCTTTCTTTGCTGTGTCTGTGTCCTAATCTCCTTTTTTAAATTGTTTAAAAAATGTTTTTATTGAAAGAGGAAGGGAAGGGAGAGGAAGAGAGAGAGAGAGAAACATCAATCGGCTGTCTTCTGCATGTGTTCCCCTGGGGATGGAGCCCGCAACCTGGGCACGTGCCCTGACCAGGAATCAAACTGGGTTTTGGTACATGGGACAGTGCTCACCAACTGAGCCACACTGGCCAGGGCATCTCCTCCTCCTCCTCTTCTTCTTCTTCTTTTCTTTATTGATTTTAGAGAGAGAGGAAGGAAGACGGAGAGAGAGAGAGAAACATCCATGAGAGAGAACATCAATTGGCCGCCTCCTGCATGCCCCCCACTGGGGATCGGCCCACATCCTGGGCATGTGCCCTGACCGGGAATCAAACCCGCGACCTCTTGGTGCCTGGGTGGAGGCTCAACCACTGGGCCACACCAGCCGGGCTCCTCTTCTTATAAGGACACCAGTCATCGGCTTAGGGCCCAGCCCCATGACCCCACTTAACCTTAACTATCTCCTTAAAGACCGTATCTCCAGATGCAGCCCCGTTCTGGGAACCTGGGGGCTGGGACTTCACCTATGAATGGGAACGGGGAGGGGTCACCTAATTCCGCGTACAGCACTCACATTCAGAGGATGGGTCCTCTGAGTCATGACCAGCCTTCGGGGTCTTTGTTACGTGCTCTCTAAACCGTGTCCTCTGGTGGTTCCCTCTCCCAGGTGAGCGGCCCTTCCCCTGCACGTGGCCAGACTGCCTTAAAAAGTTCTCGCGCTCGGACGAGCTGACCCGCCACTACCGGACCCACACCGGGGAGAAGCAGTTCCGCTGCCCGCTGTGCGAGAAGCGCTTCATGCGGAGCGACCACCTCACCAAGCACGCCCGGCGCCACACCGAGTTCCACCCCAGTATGATCAAGCGATCCAAAAAGGCCCTGGCCAACCCCTTGTGAGGTGCTACCCGCCAAGCCAGGGAGGGACGGACCGGACGACGAACTACTCCCAGCGAACAGAGGGACGCGCGGAACCCGAGCCCCAGGAGCCCGCGCCAGCCCAGGAAGCCCGCTCTTCTCTTCGGTCAACTCTGATTCTCCTCCCCCCGCCTTGTTTCGAAAAGCACATTGTAGCCCCAGGTCAGAGTCCGCTCTTGTCCCCCTGCAGAGGCAACTCTGCACCGTCTCTGACTTTTGGAGGGAAGGCAAATGCTTTTTTTTTTCTCCCTCCCTGTCCATTTTTTCTTTTGGGGGGGCGGGTGGGGATAGGGGGTGGGGACAGGGATGGGAGGCCAAGGCTGGGGCAGAATTTTCGAGATTCAACACTGGTGTACATATGTCTGACCGGGTGAGTTGATCTGTGGCATCACAGTGATTCTGGGCCCTTTCCGCTTGCTGTCTCAGAATTGTTTTCGTACCTTGTAATGTAATGACGAGTGTGCTTCGGTTTCTTTAGCAAAACCACTCTCTTGAATCACGTTAACGTTTGAGACAAAAACGCCATAGCACAGCTGTCTTTATGCAAGAGCACACCTACAGCATGACCTGTCATCTAAAGACTCGAAAACAAAACAAGTTACTTATAGTCAATGGGTAAGCTGTCTGAATTTATACTAATCAAGACAAACCTTGGAAAGGTTACACTAAGTACAGAACTTTAAACCTTGCTTTGTATGAATTGTACTTTTTTGAACATAAGCTGCACTTTAATTTGTAATGCAGAGGATGAATAAGTTAAGTTCATGCTTTAAGGATAGAAGCAGACATTCTTTTTTGGAACCACGTTATAATCTGCTTATTTTACAGTATACACGTTTCCCTATGAAATCACGGCGGATGTGAGGGCAGAATATACACAACAGACGATGAAGGAGAAAGGAGGGTAATAGGTTTATTTTTTTGTTTGTTTGTTTTTGTTTTAATTTAAAAAGAACAGAATTTTGACTCTTAACTTTTCAAGATTTTCCAGTTCTTTTAGTTAACATCACCTTATTGCACCATAATGCCACGAAGGGAGAGGACTTTGACTCTGTTGGGTTTTATTTGAATGGGTGCGTAACAGTAGCTAGCTCTGGAAACACCTGTTGTTTGGGGGAATAGGTTTATTGGTCTCCTTCCCATGTTCCTACAAAACTCTCACTGACAGGTGTAAGAGTTATATAAAACGAAAAGGGAGCTGAACTGTGAAAAGAAAATATACCCCTATAAGCAGTGAGTGCCAAGGGAAAATACCACGATGATGTCAGAGGAGACTGCAAAGTTGTCCCTTTGGGAGAACAAAGGGACAAGGAACACACGAATGGAACACACATCACTGTATCTTTTACATCGGAAGCCTCACCACTATGTATCTTGTATCCAGGTGTCTACAATGGCCTAAACCACTACATCCATGATATGCCATTTACCTGAAAACTTCATTTTGGCTATTACATGGTCAAAAAAAAATGAACTGAGTTTTCTTAGTGAAGAAGAAACCTCAAATAGGGGAGTCAGCAGCGATGGTGGGAAAATGTTTACATTTTTTTTTTTTCTTCTTCAGAAATAACGCTTTCTGACAATTTTATCTGATTTTTAAACAGGGAGCTCTGGTTCACACATGTGCTATAAGATGTGTTGTGTAAACCGAGGGTGCCTCCCTGTCATTGAACTCATTACTTCACCTGACACACACTCGTTTCCAGTTCAGAACCGGGGTGGGCTCCCGCAGCAGGCACGGGTCACAGCCGACTCCTTCCAACACCAGAGCCATCACTCGCATGGTGGGTTATTTTTGTTTTCTTTTCTTTTTTTTCTTTTTGTTCTGTTTAACCAACATAGTGGTATTAGTAGTTCTATAAAGAGAACTGCTTTAACATTAGGGACTGGGAGCAGTCCATGGGATAAAAAGGAAAGTGTTTTCTCACGGGAAAACATGTCAGGAAAAATAAAGAACACTTTCTACCTCTGTTTCAGATTTTTGAAACGCTTATTTTAAACCAAATTTTAATTTCTGTGTCCAAAATAAGTTTTAAGGACATCTGTTCTTCCACACGAAATAGGTTAGGCTGCCTATTTCCTACCGAACTCACGGGATGGTTCTGCTTGTGATCCTCTGCACGCGGCCTTTTAGTGAGAGAGGAGTTTGGGGTTGCCTAGCAACCCACCAACTTGTACAAACTCATCTTTCCCTCACAGAAAGCAACGAAGGAAAACCAGGCAAAGTCAGTGAAAGACAATCTTTGTAGTTTCAGGAGTAAAGCTGTATGTGGCTTTTGTCCAGCACCTAGATGGATGTAAATGCAGCAACTTGTTTAAAAAAAAGAAATGCACAATTTACTTCCCCCAAAAAGTTGCTCCTTGCCTTTTCAAGTTGTTGACAAACAGACATTTGATATTCTCTTATATGTTATAATAATGTAACGTATAAACTCAAGGCTTTTTATTCTTTGTGATAAATCCTGTTTTAAAATGTCACAAAACAGGAACCAGCATTCTAATTAGATTTACTATATCAAGATATGGTTCAAGTAGGACTACTAGAGTTCATTGGACACTAAAACTATGAAACAATTACTTTTTATATTAAAAAGACCATGGATTTAACTTATAAAAATCCAAATGCAGGATAGTAATTTTTGTTTACTTTTTTAACCAAACTGAATTTTTTGAAAGACTATTGCAGGTGTTTAAAAAGAAAGGAAAGTTTGTTTTATCTAATACTGTAAGTAGTTGTCATATTCTGGAAAATTTAATAGTTTTAGAGTTAAGATAACTCCTCTCCTTGGTTAGGGAAGAAGAAAGCCCTTCACCACTGTGGAATGATGCCCTGGCTTTAAGGTCTATCTCTACATCATGCTTCTTTTGAGAATTACATTTGGTAGTTATAATTACAGAAACTGATTAGTTGTAAGTTTGCAGGTAGATTTAGCACCGTACTCATCACTCTGGATAGACTGCGATGTTCTTTCACACAGATAAATGATCTGTAACACTGTAAGATACTGATCTTTACAACTGTTTAATCAGTTTTATTTTTGTACAGTATTAGTGACCTAAGTTATTTTGCTGTCCTGTTTTTGTAAATCAAACAAAATTATAATAGAGGATTCTGACAGTAGGTGTTTTGTACATATGTATATATGTTGTCCAAATAAAAATAATAAAAATGATAAAGATTTCATTGTTCCTGCCATTATGTGTTTTAAAGGGGGCCTATATTGCCATAGCAGGGGCTACTACTTTAACCTGTGCTCACAGGATTTTATGATGAGTGCAAAGATGATTTTGCCCTATACTTTTCAACATGTGCAGTATTTGTATAGATCTGTGTGTATTTACTATTTATATATCTCTGAGGCTGTAAATGGAATGGAGGCTGCTTGAAACCACTGTATTATGCTGGAGGAGAATATTTATACTTTCAGGAAAATCACTAACAGTTTTATAAAGCTCATACTATGCTAGAGTGTGGTAGGAACTGGTCAGAGAATGTTAGAAATTCAGATTGTGCTTTTGAGCTGTGATATTGGTAACAGTACCCAGGTTGAGGTCTCAAAGGCAAGGCAGTGGAACCATTAAGCCAAGTGAGGATGAACACCAAAGTGTGTGTGTGTGTAATTTATATAGATATAGATGTATAACTTAGTAATGGTGCCAAGTGCTTAGGTCTTTTCTCTTAATTTACTCCCTACAGCAGCTTGGTACAGCTCATACAGTAGCACTTGTTATCCAAATATTTCAGATGGGAAAACTTGAGAGCCACATAACTTGCTAAAAGACACATTCAATAGGTGGTATAAACAGTATTTAAATTTGGATCTGCTGACTCCAACCTTCCATTTTTTATGCCTGTATCAGAGCAGCGATGGGTGAACTGAGCATCATTTCCATTTGACCCATTTTATTGAGCACTTGTTAGTGCCAGGTATTGTCATCTCTGAAGACACAAAGGTGAAAACAAACAACAAAGTGCTCTGTACTCAAGGAGTTTATATGTTAGTAGATAGAAACACATAAACAAGTAAACAAATTATCCATATAATTAAAAATTTTTTTTTCTTTATTGATTTTAGAGAGAAAGGAAGGGAGAGAGAGAGAAACATTCATGAGAACATCGATTGGCTGCCTCCTGCATGCCCCCCACTGGGATCGGGCCACAACCTGGGCATGTGCCCTGACCGGGAACCGAATCAGCAACCTCTTGGTATATAGGCTGACGCTCAACCACTGAGCACACCGCCGGGCTCTCCATATAATTTTAGATAGTGATGAGCATTATGATGAAAATAGGGTCGGGTGATTTTGAAGTTGGGGAAAGTCATTCGAACCAGGTTGTTAGCAGTGGAGGTGGAAAGCAGCAAATAGTTCCAAATATACGTTGGAGGCGGAATGATTTGGATTTGGCGATGTTAGCATGTCAGGGGTAAGTGAAGAAAAGGTCTAATAACCCTCAGGTTATGGCCAACAGGCCTTTGTTAATGCAGTTTGAGGAGGTGGAGAGGAGAGGGTTGGGGTGAAGGAAAAGTCATGGACTGATTTTGGTTGTGTAACAAAAATGTCAAAAAGCAATTGTATATATTAGTATAGAGCTCAAAAAAGTGGTCTGGACTGGAGATTTGGAAGTCTCAGTCATATCTAGTAGTAACTGAAGCCACCGAAGTGGATGGCAGCTGCAGTAGAATACAGAGGGGGGAGGGAGAGAAAGGGAAAGAAGGAAGACGAGGGAGAGACAGAAAGATAGCTCAAGAAATAACAAGACAGAGGCTTCCAGTCAGGGTGGAGAAGCAGGTTAGTGCAGTACTCGATCCTCCACAACCACATCAAAATTACCACTAAACCACAGAACAGCCATCACTCAGGGAACCACCTGAAATCTAGCCGAACGGAAGTCCTGCGACTCAGGATATGAAGAAGCCACATCAGACTGGTAGGAGGGGCAGAGACGTGGAACTGGCTGGTCCCATAAGCACGTGTGCTGGTTAAAAGTCGGGAGGGATATTTTGGCTGTGGAGGTCCCCTCTGAGGAGCAAGGGTTTGCAGCCCCACATTAAGTACCTCCAGCCCAGGGTTCCAGTGCCAGGAAGACTTGTCCCAATTACTTCTGGTTGTGGAAACCAGCTGGGAGCGTGGCTGAGGGAGACAGACGGAGGGCTGCGGGAGCCCCAGGCAGTTCCTTCCTTCCTTCCTTCCTTCCTTCCTTCCTTCCTTCCTTCCTTCCTTCCTTCCTTCCTTCCTTCCTTCCTTC